CTGATGATTTGGGGATTTTGTTCTGCAGGAGGAAAATGAAGAAGGTTTGGGAGCGAGCCGTGAGTTTTCTTTCAGCGAATGAATCAAGGATTCGAACAGAGACTCAGAGGATTGGTGGAGCAGACTTCCTGGTTTGGAGGTGGATCCAGCCTTCTCTTAATTGTGACAAAGGCTCCTCCAAAGTCTGGCAAGGAAAAGGTAACGCACTAGAGCGTCTAGTTGATCAGATGACGTTTCAGGCCAGTTGTTTGTCTAAATGCTAATGGACCTACTGTTAACCAGTCTGTAAACGTTATGGAGATGTTCTTACTGCGATCACCTGCCCGTTAACACTTTGATCATGTTGCTGTTTCAGCGTTTCCGTTGGACCGGAGGAATTCACCCCCCAACAGCCTGACCCCATGCCTGAAAATCAGAAACATGTTTGATCCAGTCATGTAAGTTCTTTCTCTGCATGTTTGATGATCTGTTAGATCACATACATCACTAAAGATGTCCCAGCGTAGAGGACTAGAACGTTTTCAACACTAAGTACGTTATAAATGGAAAAGTACGGACCGACCCTTTAACCAGCAGCTCAGGCTGGTGGTGGTGACGTGGTGCGGGGCTGATGTTATCGGCACACGTTGGGCCTCTTGGTACCAGCTGAGCATCATCGGCTGCTTGGGTCTTGTTGCCGACATGGATACGACTCCGTGTCACAGAGCTCAGAGCTCAAATGTTCACGAGATCAGTCTCATGGAGCGCCGTTGGGATGTGATGGAGCCTGACCTTTTTGAAAACAATTGTTGATGGATTGTGATATTAGGATATAAATGTTACCATAACCATTTAATGGATGGAGAACGGTGCTCACTGCGTTGTGTCCAGTTTGGTGGAGGTGGGGTTGTGGAGTAGGGCTCACCCCCTTAGTTCCAGTCAAAGGAACTCTGTGCTTCAGCACACCAGGACATTTTGGACAGGTTCATGCTCCCAGTTTGGGGATGGCTCTTCTTGTTCCAACATGACGGCACAAAGGACACAAAACAAGTCATTAAAAACATGGACGAGTGAGTTTGGTGAAGAACTAGAGTCCTGACCCCAACCCGAGAGAACAGCTTTGGGATGAAGTCGAGGGGGAACTGCACACCAAAGCCGGCCCCACAGACACGCAGTCCAACCTCTGCTGGTCGTGTTTGTTTAAGTTACAGTTTTCTCCGTGCCCGTCACTGCGGCACAGCTCCAGACTCCTCCCTCCCAGGCCCCGCCGTCCTACTGTTATTAGATGACTGCTGTCAGCTGCGACAGCCAACCTTCCCCCGGCACCCCACCCTCAACCCTCTGCTTCACAGGCATCTCATCCAACATCAGTGTCTGACTGCACACATGTTCCCACGAGCACACACCTACACTTTGTGGAAAGCCTTGCCAGAAGAGTTGAAGCAGTTAAAGCTGCAAACAGTGAGTCTGCATATCCAGGTGTCTCGACTCGACCAGGTCACCAGGCTGTCAGTCTCCCTCCTGCACATGGACTCGTCTGCACCTGAGATGAGCCCGATGAGTGAGGCGCCATCTGGAAACTTGAGGAGTTTGATGGGCTGGTGACTAAAGGTGCAGCTGTTGGTGAACAGGGAGTGTAAATAGTCCTGGTGCTGATGTGCTGAGAGTGTGAGGCATGCCTGCCCAGTCTGTCCGACAGGAAGTGATCCAGCTGCAGGTGGAAGCTGGGACGATTTTATAAAAAGCAGAACTAAAGTTCCCAAAAGTTCCCAGACAGTTTTCTGCAGAGTCCAGATGTTGGAGGGGAAACGCCGTCCTGTGTTAGGAGCATCGTCTGCTGACCTGTTGGCTCCGTGTTGTTTGTTCCTGCTGAAGGTTGAAGCAACTATTTCCTTGCACATTTAGCAAAGTCCAGTCTCAGAAGCAGCTCTGCTTTGGGTGGAAAGTTGTTGGAAGCTGGTGTTTTATGTCATTTTAAGAATTACACGTTTGTTTTCGCCCTTCTGTCCTGATGAAACAGTAGGTGACAAAGACTGATGCTTCCTCCTCAGTGTTTACAGACTTTCTGCTCTTGTTACCTGATGTTTTCAGGGAGGTGGGGGAGAACTGGGACCTAGCCATTCGTGAGGCCATCTTGGAGAAATGCAGCGATAACGACGGCATCGTCCATATAGCTGTGGACAAGACCTCACGAGAGGTACGCTCT